AAATAATCGACAGCCGTATGTAATTATCATGTTACTTCATTTGATTATATACATGTATCGCTTTTAGTTTCGTGATATTATTATGATTATAACTATTATTATATTATTATTATTATTATTAAAGTTCTCGATTTTTTACCTTTTATCGCTTTTTTATTCCGACACCTATCGACGATCGACGTACGATCCACATAGGAGGGAATAAGATCGATTCTATCAATCGCACGAGCCTTTGTCCTAACGCGGCGTTTAATTCGATCGGCACATCGAATAACACCGTCGATTCGGTTCCTTCGAGTTATATAATCCGATGATCGTGTAAATTTCCAACAAGCAACCTCTGTCACTCGAGTCGATCTCGTTAATTTGCGGTAAACACACGAAAATTGTCAATACTGCTCTTGCAAACAGAAGACGAGAATTAAGTCTTTAGTGCTGTAGATCAAGGCTCTTCGTTTTCAGAATGACAAATTAGAAGCCGTCGAAATTATTCAAACCCAAAGTCCAAATGAATTCAAGGATTTATCAGAAAGGCAAATTTGAAAATGTTTAGTCTAATTAATCAGCACAAATGGCGTAAGTACCTTAATGCGTCGTCTACAATACGCGAAGTAAGAAGTTAAAGTAAGAAATTTACCAATCACAGTCGAATGTGAGAAGAATAATCGACTATAATTGGTTAATTTTTTACTCTTTTATATATATATATACACTTTTTAATCCATGTATTGTAGACGACGGGTAAGAAATGTTCTGTTACAAAAATTATCGTGTCACTTCATTTGATTATACATGTACCTTGCTTTTAGTTTCGTGAAGATAGTATTATAATGATAATAATAATAATAATAATAATAATAATAATAATTATTATTATTATTATTTTATTATTATATTCCTCGATTTTTATCTTTTACTGGTTTTTTATTTACCTCCGACGCCTATCAACGATCGACGCACGATTCAGACGTATCGTCAGAGAGAGTAAGATCGATATCAATCGATAAAAATCGGGATTCACTATTTCCCGAAGAATTCCCCGATTCCGGGCGCAACCGAGGCGGAATCGAGTCTTCACGCGTAATCACGCATTAACGCACGCATGTTTACATTTACAGGCGCGTGCACGTTTGCGCTTTCGCGCGCGCACGTAAAGGACCACCAACGCACGCGGAAATCCAGTAGATTTGCTTGCACATAGGCAGCTCGCTCGTACCGCGCACACGCATGCGAGAGGTGCATCGGGGGGATTTCGTACAACCGGTGCCAGATTGATTTGGTTTACCTAAACCGCTATCCCGTCCTCCTCCCCCTGGAAATCGTCAGAGAGAGAGGGGGGGGGGAGATAGAGGAGGGTGCCGGTGGATACCGCCCTGGATTTTCCGCCAGCAAGTCGTGGCGAGGAAGGGTGTTTACTCAAGACACGACAATTCATTACGTAATTGAATTGAATGAGCCCTCTCCTTCGCTCCGCATCGCCCACCCCCTTCCCAAACGTTTGGCTCGAACGTGTACGCGTGCGAATGCTCAGGCACGCGTGTGCGTGGTCTGTACGAGCCGAGGGGTGGACCGAGATTCAGAGATGGATTAAAGGTCGGAAGGGGCCCCGGAAGCCGGCGTAAGTCTTTTGGTAAGGTGATAGGTTCTCGAAGTTACCTGAAGATCTTTTATTTTGCGTCGAATAGCGCAAGATAGTCGATAGGTGCAACAAAAGCTGCATGTAAAAAAGCTCTTTAGAATCCGTTTATATAAGCGAATAAACAATTAATTTTTAAATCATTGTTTAACAACAAGCGATAAAACGCATGAAATTCGTTATAATTATAGACTAAAAATATTAGTAAAATTTTAGATATATTTTCCAGTTTTTACTTATATCCACAATAGAAGTTGTCTGATCTTGTAGATAATAGATTTAATCGCCATCAAGCGTTGAGATGTAAATTAAAAATAAGAGACTATACAATAGTTATTATTTTTTTTTTTTTTAGAAATCCCATACCAATCGTTGCTTCGAAATGCAATCGTCTTGAATGATGCCGCGCGAGATTTCGCTATACGTCCCTGGTGAGACATTGTAATCCCCGTTCCTCGCCGGCACCGCGCAGCGTCTACATTCCTCTTCTCCGAGACCGGGGAGATCCGAAGGCCTGGGACCGACGCGACCGGAGGGGCTGGTAGCGAGAGCGACCGAATTAAACGATTAGTTAAACTGATTTCGAGTTAGGCGAATGAATAAGTAATCGGATTTCTCGTTAAGGTAATCGCATTGCGCCCTGATTGGCTCCGTCTGCCTGCGTTATAGGCCGCACTCCCGGCATTTTGTCCCTCTCTCCGTCCCGTCCACCCTCGTCCACGTCGCGCTGCACCGTTCTCTCTCTCTCTCCCTCCCCTCCTTCTCTCCGCTGAAAGAGAGTGTTCTCTCATCGTTTGCACGGGGGGTGTCCTCGCGCGTCCCCATTGTCGCCGTCTCATCTCCCTAGAAATTGAGAAGCGCGAATATTTCGAGTAATATACACTCGACTTTTGCACCTACATTCCCGTTATCTCATTGTTGTTTATCGCGCGCTATTAACGTAATTACAATGTTTGCATATAAAAATGCTTTGAGGTTTCGATAACTTAAAACATTCTTTGAGAAGTTTGATAGATATTGTGTTTATTGAAGCCATCTTCTCGCGAACCCTACTTATTAATTCTTTTATTTTATCTCACTTGATCTTGCTAATTTTTTAATTTCAGACCAAAAATTCATCCTCTTCTCCTTGATCATTGATTAAGACTGTAATATCTCTGTAAAAAGACTAACGCCCACCAATGTGGATTAACTTTAATCTCGATTTAACTCACTGTTCATCTTTTTCTTATTTTTAGAATTATAGAAAAAGACAAGGAGCAAATTAAACCAAGATTAAAATTAATCTGCATTGATGGAAATGGGCATAAGAATGGGAAATAGACAATGTGCTTCAAATTATTCTAAATTCCATTCGTATCTACTCGCACTTATCGTGCAGACTTTGTTCTCTCTTTCCGTCCATCCATATCTCGATGGTAGAACGAACTGGCAACACCAAGTCTGCTAGTAACCCGAGCAATTTTATTACATTCCCCGAACGCATTTAAATATTGCCGAGTTTGGCGGCGACAAACGCGGGACACGCACGTCCCAGGGTCGTATTCACCTGGCGCGAGGAGAGATTTGCGGCGTACTCCGATATTGCTCGCGAGGGAGGACATCTTCCGTAGAGATTTAACGTTGCCGTAAACGATACAGATTAAGCGTTAGCCGGAAGGCAGCGAATATTGGATGTCTTCTCCGCACGGAGGATCTCGGCAACAAACACAACGTACCTTATCGAGGACGATAAATCGTATTTGAAAAATCGTGATTGGCAAGAACGAAATCGAGTTTACGTCAGACCGACGTACATCATCCTGACGGTCCTGAGAGTTCACTTACGCTGCATCGTCGAAAAGGAAGACAAGGAGAGAACTATAAAAGGGAAGAGGAAGAAGTGTGTTACTGGTGAGAAGAAAAGTGGATATTGAAACGGAGAAATATACAGCAACTGAGAGAGTGAGGCAGCATGTGACAGAAGAAATGCACTTGTCACGATCAGTAACATGCAGGCCGCCACCTTATCTGTATCGTGATTTCCGAGGGGATAAACACTATCTGAAATATTGTCCCACAGATTACATGATTTCATTTAATTTTATATAATTTTATTTGATGACAAATAATTTTTCCTCACTATATATGCGGTCATTTGGTAAAATAAACGATTTTATCTAATATTACACAATTATTTCTTGTAATTGTCGGATTATATATCGAAATTTTTTATAAATTTGATAATGATTTCAGGGTCTCCGTCCCACGATTACATTAAGTGATTACCCCCTCGGTGATTTCTATTAGATTCATTTCTGCCTGCGGATTCTATAGTTCAGATTTTATATATATATATATATATATATATATATATATAGAGAGAGAGAGAGAGAGAGAATATTTTTTATACTTTTACACTTAATTAGTGAAAGCAATTACAAGTGATGTTTAAAAAAGGAATTAATAGCGATTTTAAAAAATATCGAACACGTTCTACAAAAACGTAGTCGGTTATTTTTATGTTGAAGCTAGATAATCTTGCCTGTCACACATGCGCGATGTCTCTCGCAGATTCTTTACATATTCAACATAAATGTCTAAAAAGTGGAAAAGATTATTTCGAAGGATGAAACGAATTTATAAAACAGCATTGTATAATCGAATTACACTCACAATTCGTGTCTACGTTATCCATGATTTATCGCGAGAATAAAAAGATAACGTGTTCAAAATTCCCGAGTTCATTCGTAAAATAACTCTCTCTTTTCAGATCCGGAGCAGAAAGTCGACGATCCGACGACCGATAACGAGGGCAGACAAAAAGGAGGAGCTTCGACCGCGGAAAGCATGAGGATTAATTACCGCGTGCCCGCGGCGCGGCGGCAGCGGCCTGTTTCTGCCTTCAGGTAAATACAGCGGTCATAGAGGGGCCGCGGAGAAGGACGCGAGAAGGATATGGTCGCCGAGCGGCGTCCTACCCCCGGCCAGTGCAGCGGCGAGGGGTAGTTTCGCCGCGAGTGTTTCCACGGCGAGCGGAAAAGCGGGCACAAATGCTAATGAGCGTCGGTTTGGGTGGGGGGGTAGATCGTGCCTGCCTTCCTGAAGGGGTCGAGGGGCTCAGCGAGCCCCGGATCGTGTCTCGATCGAGACGAGAAGGAGGGAGAAGCACCACTGGGCGTTTCCATCACGCCCACCCGCGTGCGGATTGGCCGGCGGCCGAATGGCGTCCTGGTGGACGCGTGGCGTCGGGACGTCGACGTCGGGACGTACCTCCCGTCGACGTGTCTCTCCCCGGCGACGGCTCTCTCGCGACGGCGGCGGCGAGTGCCGTCGGTGCCGAGGCGCGACGTCGCGCGCGAGAGTTGCCCCGATAACCGTGAGGATGGAGCAGCTCGCCCAGTTCGTCTCCAAGAGCTTCGACAACGCGGCGGCCGCGGTGGCGGCTGCGACGAGTGTCGAGGCTGCCGCCGGCTGCAGAGCGACTGCCGGCGGCAGGATCACGCTCAGTGTCGCGCATCTCATCGGTGATCACGTCGCGGACGATGGTGACCGGCGTACGTGTAATAATCTTTTCCGATGCGACCGTGATACAATGCTAATCTTTAGGTGCCGAGTTGATCGAGAGCACTCATCAACTGATCAACCGATGCAGTGCGCGTATAACTCTTCTATAGGATCTCAATGATAGATCTCAATATATATATCAATCATGATGCCGAGCATAAAGATGTGCTGGATCGAATGAAATTTACTATGCGAGTCAGGTCGATTCGTATGTGCTTGTGTTTCGCCTTGTTAGTGATCAAGCAGATGGAATATACCAATTTGGAATTCATTGCAAGAAGAAATTTATAGTGAAAATTATGTCAAATTTGTATTCTTGTGTATTTCTTGAATAACAGCAGACTGCACGATTATTTGGACTACATAATTTGTGTTAATGTGGATGGGAAAAGAATTAATTGTGGATGCTGGAGATACCAAGTCGTTTACATCCGTTTTTCAATATATAATCTGTTTTTACATATATCAACTCTGTATCGTTATAATGATGACAGAGATTACATTCGAAAATCTGTAAATTTAAAATGAAAAGCTTGTAGCTGCTAAAATCGCAATTCACTTACGAATCGACCTGATCGCCGACGTCTTTATCGCGTTCTTAACACTTCGCGATCAAGATTGGTCCCGCGCGACAGATGAATACAAGAGAAATCTTGTTTAGATGAAGCGGCGCAAGAGACTACGGCTAGCGTCATCGAGACGAGCGGAAGCGTCGAAGAACCGCCGTCGCCAGAAGGTCGGTTGCAACCGGAGGACCTCTCCGTCACGGCCAAGATCAAGGACATCCGGGACACCGCGGAGAACTTGCCACCCCTGAAGACACCCGAGCTGAAGCTATCGGTTCGCAAACTGCTCGGATGCACCCCCTCCCCACCGCCTATATCGAGGGATCGATCACCCAGCCCGGAAAATTGCGTTGAATTAAAAAGTCAAAACTCTAGTAATGGCAAAACTCTTGTATCCTCCAACGATCAGGCCAAAGTGTCCTCGCAGGTTACAAGGTCGAGTGGACAGAGTCAAGAGGATTCAGTTAAGGGTGAGCATAATACTGAAAGAATAATTATTTTACACTAATTAATTTCTGTGCGTTGTCTCTATAAAATAATGCAATTCTATTTTTTCTAAAGATCTCAAGATTTATTGTCTAACAAAAGGTGTTTAAATTCGAGTCATAAGGCGTTTTTACATCTAAAAGACGACTTCAAAACGTCCTATGCTACAATTTTAAACTTTGTGTTGTTTGGGATGATATTAAAATTTTTATGGTATACTCGTCTTAATAGTGTCAAATTAAGGTGATATTTACTGGAGTTTGTAATCAACAATTAAATAATATTTAAATTATTAGTAACTAAAATAATTAATAAAAAGATTACTTACAGAAATTAAAATAAATAAAAATAAGCTTTTTAGAAATATATTATAACTGAGATAAATTATTCAGAACTCTAATTCTCAAATAATTTTATTTTCCATTGGATTAAGAGCGAATTCGAAAGTCTCGTATTTTAAATAACTTGCAATATCTTTTTTCTTTCACAAAATAACACTTTTCAATTAAGCATTAATGCCATCATTCTTCCATAATACACTAGAAATGCACGAGAAATATATATAGAATTGTTAGTTTTATAATTAGGTAATTAAATTGTATATATACAATTTATATGTAAACATATAATATGTATATATGTAAAAAAAAACATGATATGGATTACATTTGCATAACAATATTAAGATATTCTATATATCTATCATAGACATGAAGTAGAAACGTTTTCATCTAGAATTGCTCATTGAACTCAAATCCCAAAATCCTTTCTCAGACTATCGTCCCGTTTTATGCCTGCCCTGGCCCAACGTGCAAGGTTGTCACTTTTGATTTCGATTGATCGACATTTCTTGCGGCTGGCCCGTTTGCGATTGCCGTGCGAACGAGTGCGGGAAGGTCAGGAACCTCCAAGTGGCGGCATCGAAGTCGCAGCGCACCGGAGGGATTCGATCTTCGTTTATAATTCAGGCCGTCGTCCAATAAAGCTCACAAGTGATTGGGAATAGCTGACCGTTCGCAATGTAACGACCGGCGACCCGATCGGTGATTTCGCTCACGAGTCGAGTCATCTTTGATAAAACTCTCGCTCTGCCGAGCATTGAAAGATGAAATTACATCGATTCCTCGCCGTTCTCTTCTAGACAAACCTCTAACAAAAGTAAACTGCTCTTGCAAGAATTGAGATTCGTGAGGATTATTCTCAGATCATGTTATCATGTTCTAGCACACTTTAAAACATTCAGTGCGTAAATGATTTTTATGTAAAAAATGCTTATTTAAAAAACTAGTTATTTGCCTTTCTCTTGCAAAGATAAAAAGTTCCTCGCGTTGTCCCTCCCTTAAAATTCAGAACTCAATTTCCTGATATTAATACCTTTGACATTTCCTCTCTATATGATATATTAAATTTTTTATAATTTCAAACCAAATAAGACAATACCACAGCGGTCTAAGCTGGATCACGAGTGCTTCTAAATAATTGTGTGTGAATTTATATACTATAAATGTAATGCTTCGATTGCGCGCCGAAATTTTGTTAGACTTGAAACGCAATACTAATAAACTCTCACAATATCACGAACTAAATTGACTAACAATTTAATCGGTGCAAGAATGCTAGAGATCCGGGTAGGACTCCCGACCGGGTGATACTTTTCGCAGTGAAAAATTAATTATTTACAGTTTTTAATAGGTTATTCAACTTTAGTAAGGTTGATATAAGATGTGTAAACGGCATCAATAATTGTTAAATTGTTAGTCAATTTAACTCGTGATATTACTGTGTAATATTACTAGTTTATTAGTGTTGCGTTTCAAGTCTGAAAAAATTTCGACGCGCAATCGAAAAATTACACTCGTAAGGGAGACCGGATCTCGTTGGCACAGCTTTCACAATTTCAGTCCTTTAAATAACTGATTATTATGATTAAATTATGCTAATACGATAGAAAGAACCTTTTTCTACATTTTGAAGCTAGAAACGATTCTGTGTAATGTACTGCAGTTTCTTCGTATTAAGTGTAATACGAACACGCTGCATTGCAGTCAGCTTGCCAGGTTATGGGGTAAGTTGATAGATACCATGGGACAAGTTTACCCATAGTATACATTTATCAAGACAACCTCTTAAATGGTTATAGGTACATATCATGGAAAAAAAATCGGAATGGATTCCGATCAGAATTGTTCTCACGACTTTCACGTGCGAAGTGCGAACGATAGCACATCATGCTAACTATGTTAACATGCATCTATGCTGACCTTGCATAAGTTGCATTAAATATGAGTCAACGTACTCCATCTCTATATAATATATTTAATTTTAATGATTTTATTATAACAAATTACTATCATCACTCAAAATAACATGTCGTATAATAACAAAACTTCTCTTTTAACTGATAATACGTCATTTAAATTTATTTTTTCAAATTGAGAAATATTAATACCAAATATTGAAAAGCTCGAAAATCTACTTCGTACCCCTTGAATTACATTATTCTCTTTTTTTATTATAATACTTGTTTGATTTAAATGAAACTTAAGGATAAGTACCTATGTTATAAAAGACATATTTTGCAGTAACTTTTCTGTTGTTTCTTTTGCCACAAGTACATAAACTGAACGCAATGCCAACGAGACCCGGTCTTCCCTAATATACAAATTCACACACAATTATTTAGAAGCACTCGTGATCCAGCTTAGACCGCTATGGCATTGTCTCATTCGATTTGAAATTTAGCGGTCCAATAAGAATTGATATTGTTTATAATTTATATCTCGATAGAGAAATATTCGATTTCCATCTGATGTATTGACGCAATCATTTGCCTCGCTTCTACGAGCATTCTCTATCTCAAACGTTGTTTCCAAATGAGAGTTTGTTAAATTCTATAAACTAATTTTGCAATAATTGGCCATGCAGGATAATTAGTCCATGTACGATATGCGACCAAATTATCGCGAGTATGAGACAGAGTGAATGGAAACGAGCGGACGGACAATTAAACGAAGAACGAAGGATCGAATCGACGCACGGCGATTGCGTTATAAAAAGCGTGCGGCATTGAAGTAACGCCACGCACGCTTCCCTGCACGATAACTCGGCAAGCCGAGCGGGCAGAACGCGACGGCGGCGGCGCCATGAATTTATGGTTTAATATGCGGCCCGCCGCGTTAGTTGTGTGTACGCCCCTCAAACGGGGGGAGTGACGAGAAACGCAGTGGCTGGTGTGCTGCTGCACCGGCAGCTCGCCTATCTCTCGAGGGCCCATAACTTTTTCCGATTAAGCGCAAATCAAAAAGCAATCTACCCGGCCGGCAGCCATCGCGGCCGCGAAAGTAAAACCGTAAATATTCGCCCAGGAGCCTCCAGCCGGGGGACATCCGGTGTACCGGAAAGGGCTTAAAGCGATAAATATTAATACACTTTGTGGGCGCTGATCGCCTCCGTACGCGATCCTCTTACTCTATATTAATTAAATCGTCGTATAGCTCGTATACATTCATGCGAAGATTAAATTAGAGTCACTTCCTCTAACAATTGATATTTATTTTCAATACTGTGTTCATCGAAAATAATCGTTTTCAATAGCTTAAAAATTTGGCAAGAGGTAGATGGAGATTTTCTTCAATCTGGATAAAGCTCGTTAAAATTCACGTCTACAGACGCTCACTTCGTTCATTGACGTCTGATATAAGTAGATAAAAAGAATACGAGATTGCACAAAATTGTAATAACTCTAACATTGATAATAATTAGGTATATACTTTGAAATTTATCAGTTTGTACATACATCGTCACTTTTTTTCCAATACTGATGGAATATTTCTAGTTAATGTGAAACGTATATGAAAAAAGCTTCATCGGATACTTTCTCAAGTCGTACAGATGATACCATCACGAACCTTGCAGCCTTTCAAAAACGAGCACTTCCAGTGATGCGATACTCCAAAGCACATTTCGCTTCTCCTGACGATTTAGCGTGGTGCGCGCGCCCATAGGTCTTCAGTCGCGCGTGTTTTTCCACGATTGCTGTAAGTGTTGGTGCTTGACCGCCGGTCAAAGGTCCGTGCACCCGTACGTATATTTATGGTACTTGGGGCGCGAGTTTCTTGAAGTATGATAGCGGAGGGTGTACGGCCGCCACTTTAGGAAAAATGAGAAAGAGAGAGCTCATCCCTTCGTATTTACGTTCGAACTTTTCGCCAAACTAGCGATAAGTCGCGATACAAAAATGATAAATGTAGCTTTCAACGAATATTCACGCGAGTAAAATATGGTGAAAAGTATCGGAAATAAAGCATTCATTTTGAAAAAAGGATCACGTGCTGAATTATGCTTAAATACTGTTAAGCTTAATGTATCGCGATTATCCTGAGATTTGGAAAGAATAATGCGACAAATGTTAGGGTTAAACTCCTAAGGAGGGTACCAGCCGGCACTTTGCTTCATTAAGCAATAAGTGATTGCATGTCTTAAACTCCCCTTGCTTCTTGCGTATTTATGGGACCGTGCATGTGCCATATGTAGCGGCTGCGTGTAGGATACGACGACGCTTTTATATACGTCTAATGGCCGTGATATCTCGACTCATTTTGGAGGGAGAAAAATAGTATAGCTAAGGCGGTCGGTCCGGGGGTAGCTCTTTGGGGGTGGCTTAACTGGATCAGGCCAAAAGGGCAGCGCTCTTAGTAATTGAATTAGTGACCCCTCGCGTCCAAGTGTGATTGCTTTGGGTTTTCCAGTAGCAGGGTTCGGTTATCTGTTCCCCCGTTCGTCCCGCAGAATCCCTCTCGCCGTCTCGATCTCTACGAGGTATCGGATAACGTTCAGCAAGTGCGATTTTGCACCTCGAACCGAGACGTTTGGGATATACCCTGCTCAGGTGCAGATTTAGCCAAGAGGATTTAGAGAAACGTGTTATAGGACTTGGAAAATAATATATGAATTTCAATTGTACATGTTAACGTCAACGATCAACACGTTTCGGTATTGGGACAGTCTCTCGGCTCATTTTTTCTTTACTTAATTTTATTATAGAAGAAAAAATTTGAATTGTTAATTTAACGCAACAGTAAACGGAGAAAGACTTGTCACAGATTCCCATACAATTTACTAAATTACAATAATCAGATAGCAAAAAAAAAAAAAGATATATAAGAGTGATCGTCGTGATACTAATTCGTTGCTCTCGTTTCAGAAAGCTAAGCGCTTGTGAAAAATGAAAAGGCTGCAACTGTAAATTCAAAACGATGCCGATTCTCGTCCCCGGTTTCTACGGTACATACGGGGAATAAACGGTCGGCACGTTCGAGTTAATGACTGCGACAACGCGCGTATGTGTTGCGCCATGGGTTATGCTAACAATGCACGGACGAGGGGCGTCGAAAACCGCGCGAGTTATTTTGGCGAACAGGAGGGAGGTGGTTTTAAACCACCGCTGTACATATGGATGCGGGCCGCACACCCTGCCTAGGGCTCAGATTGGATTACGCGGATATGCGCTAATTGATTAAAGCGCCGTACGCCGTACGCAATGCCGCATGGCGATCGCGCCGGCGTGCAAACGCACGCAGACTGCAGAGCGCGTCTCGTTTTTTGCCACCGTGTTCTCCGGATAAATCGCGCACGGTCGTTCCCATTATATACCCGGTGGAAAGCGACACCGCAGAATATTCCACGCGATAAAAACGCAATTTACCGGCTTCTCGACTCTCATTTGCGTTTAATACATTTTCCCTCGTTAGCGAGAGAAATTCAGATATAATGATCTGATTCTCACGACGTTTTCTTAACTCCGCAGACACGACTAACGTAATATATACATAAATGATTAACAACTGTATATAGAATAGTAATAATCTTATTGAAAAACAAGATTACCTATACTATGTTGAAAGGAATTTACAGATCTACACTTCTTGCTTCCCTTGTGAGTTCCGTTAATTTTATTTGTATTATTAACAAATTAAATTTTAATACGCGGAATAATAACTTGATTCGATCAGCTTACGATTGTCAGTTTTGCGAAAATCGTTGATATCGTTGATAAAAATGTAAATGTGGGAAAAAGGGGGATAATTATCTTGAAGGATGAACGAAAAGATGCTCCGAAGCAAAAAACTTTCTTGGCGCGTCGTATAGAGCGGCCACAAGCATCGCCGCGAGTTAGAAGAGACGCTCGGATAATTAACGGCTATACGATTTAATTAATGGTCGCTTAATGTAAAGTAACTACGGTAGTACGGCACTTCGAGGTGTTGCCGACGAGAAGGAGGCGCGGAAACTCGAAAGGGGCTCATGACGAGGAAGAGTGGGAGGGACAGAGGTGGATTAAGTGTCTCGCGTAAGAGCCCTTGACGAAGGGGATGTGATTTATATAATTTAGCAAAGTGGTGAGCTACGCAGTCTTATACCAGGTCGTTAGTCATCCCTACTCTCCTCGCTAGACGAGAGAAGGCAAACTCGTACCATCTCACCTTAATCACCCTCCTCCCTCGCCTTTCTGCATCTGTCCGATGGAATCTTCCGCGTGAAGATGCGTCCTCGCGCGCGATGCGATCCCGTAATCTGTGCACGCAAATTTAACACCGCGGTTATATGCGCATCGAAATACACTGCGTTACGCGGACCGGATGTGTGATTATACTTTATATACTTTTACCGCGCGGTTCCTCGACACGAGAGATTTCAGAAGGATGACTGCGTTGTCGAGGGTTATCCCACTCGCGTGGGACACGCTCGTCTAATGTCATCCAATTAGAGATGCCGGTCGGCATCTCGATTTGAATAAGATTCTCATAAGGTGGCGAGATATATGTTGATGGCACCCAGACTGGAAGAAATGGCCTGTGAACGATTTACGAAGATCAATTCGGTAGCATCGGTCGCTCCGGCCTCTGGTCGTTTTGGCTCGCGGCGCGCATTTGTCCCTGTGAATTAATCATCGCGCGACGAAAACTTTTCCTTGTTACACTCGCTGCACATCCCCGACGATGACTCATGGCATTCAGGTTTTCGTTTTGTCGAAAAGCATTCCTTGACAGCAAAGAGAAAATTCTCATCTCTTCATGCTGCGCGCGTTGTAATGTGTGTGATAAATTATACTTATTACATTATTTATTATACTCGAAGATATATATATGTATATGTATATAACAGAAGCGTAGAATTATCTTTTAATGATTTTACATGGCGCTTTTGCTCGAGCAATAACATTAATTTGTAGAAAACCATGAAGTATGTATCCAAGGATCAGGCAATAGAGAGTGAAACGTGGTTCTTAGTATATGTAATTGAATATTTATTCTTTAAAAAAATTTGTCTTTAAAAAAATCAAATTTTTAAAATAAATATTCAATTACGTACTAAGAACCACGTTTTACTCTCTATTGTCTGATCCTTGGATACATACTTCATGGTTTTTTAAATATCGAGAGTTCGCAAGGAAATTACACTTGGCTTTATTAATTTGCAGGCTCCAACTGTCGGAGCAACGGAAGCGGCAACGGCAAGCAGAGGAGATCGCGGACGAACTTCACCATTGAACAATTGGCCGAGCTCGAGAGGCTCTTCGATGAGACGCATTATCCTGACGCGTTTATGAGGGAGGAGCTGAGCCAGCGACTAGGTCTCAGTGAAGCGCGGGTACAAGTCTGGTTCCAGAATCGACGTGCCAAGTGTCGTAAACACGAGAGCCAATTGCACAAAGGTAACGTGCTGCCGAAAATGAAACTCTACAGATTATTTCTTACTTTTCCTTCGCCTTTAAGTTATAATCCAGATCAGAAATATTTCGTCGTTAAAAGTGTGAAATGTATGAAAAACTTGTATATTTATACCATTATAACATTAATTAAAAGTGTGATCTATTTCCTTATATAATTTACATATCGAATAGCGATAGTATTCTAGGATTAATATGTATTCGACTGTGTGTATGGGGCAGCTCTAATTAAAATTTTCCCATCAGGCGTCGCCGGGAGCATGGTGCTGGCACCGCGCAGCCCGCCGACGACGTTGGAACCGTGTCGAGTTGCGCCTTACCTGCCAGCCCTCAGGTTACATCCGCCGCCGATGCAGGGAACGGCTACAAGTGTCACTGTAGGATCGGCTTTCGACCCAGCGGTGCTGCACTACGCGGCAGCCGGGGGCCTCTTCTGTCTGCCACCACCACCGCCGCCGCCACCCCCGGCGCCGTCGGCTGGTCATCCTCCTCATCCGTTGAGCCTGGCGGCGTCGTTGGCCGCTGCAGCAGCTCGCTCGAAGAACAGCAGCATTGCAGACCTTAGGCTGAAAGCGAGACGGCACCAGGAAGCCTTAGGGCTCGACAGGCCCGCGTAAGGTTCGCGGTATGGTACCTCTTGGACGAAGAGGGACTCGACGGGGATGAAGAAGTGCGAGGTGTCGTGACGGTGAGTATATACTCGCAGGTTCAAAGAAGATCTGTACTTTTTATCGAAATATGACTGAGTGGAGCAATGTGAAAGAAAGATCACCTAACGTAGTGGACCGACATTGTGTGATATCACGGTGATTTCAATTTTCGATGCCATAGGAAAGGTACATTATTTTATGTCGAAGTATCTTCGTTGTTCGTGTTCCTTAAAACTTTATAAAATATATAGACCTATATCTTTTCTAGATGAACACTTTAATTCAAATTTATGAAATTTTAATTATTTCTTTTTTTACATTTTTTCGAGAGTAAAAACGCAGTTATTTTGTACACGATTAAAATTACAGGTTGCACGGTGTCATCGTTGTTTTGTGCAGAAACTTGCTCGCGTATAGAATATATAAAAGCGAAATACGTGCATCTCTTCATCCGCGACGTGCCGAAGAGTCTGAGAAGTACAAAAGGACATTCAGTGTGTATAAAGTAAATTGCGGAAGGACGGCGAGAAACGTGTAACATATATACAATGTATACAGAATCGAGAATTTCGCTTGTATCTCGATTAGCGTATTCTGTGTCGAAGAACTGTGATGTAAAACCGCGAAGCTTAATCAGCACCGATTAGGAAAGCGACACGTTAATGTAAAGTTTATTGTCATCAATTTTTGAACCAGTTCTCATCTCAAGTTTAGCGGGGCATTCGTTCGGAGCGGAAGTTGTCGTAGCTTTGTGTATGCTTGTGCATGTGAATAACATGTTTAAACGGAACGTTTGTTAAAACGGTACTTATCAACGTAGAAAAAATGTCAAGGTATGTTCGTATCAATCGTAGAGCGTTTTCTAATAAAATACATTTTGTTATCAAATACGAATTTCGTATACGAATGTCGACAAGGAAATTCGAGAAAATAGGCATCGAGATTACTGATCAGCCGAATAAAAAAACTCTTACGTGCGTCATCTCGTAAGGTCGGAATTAGACTGCGCATTAAAGATTGAAATTGAAAGTACAAAATTGAAATTTGACCAATGAGAATAAAAGAATTTTAGCTTCTATTATTTTGATTGGTCAAATTTCGATCTTTTAATCTTCAATGCGTAGTCTAATTCCGGCCGAAGAATATAGCTATAGATTTACGTTGCGACAGCAATTTCTGAGGGTGACGTATGGTGAAATTCAGAAAGTGCCAAAATTACTGACCATCCATGTAGAAGGAACCGTACGTCGTTTCCAAGAGTAGATTTCGGTCACAACATTTCTTACCAGCGACATTAGTTCACAAGGGAATACGCGGGGAAACTCCAGGACGCGCCAGGATCGCTGACCAACCGCGGGTGGGAATTATAGATCGCCGTGTCCTGGCAGCGGCTTGCAAGACATAACTTTCGTAGATGATTCACGGGCGAGTGGCCGGACGATTTCTCGCGTTCGTCGCCAGCGAGCAGGGGACGGCGGACAGCATCGCCGTCGGGGCGCTAATGCAATAACGCGCGGCTACGCGGATAAATCAAGCTGGGCGAACCGCTCGAGCTGTGCCGTGCCCTGCCGTGCCGTGCCAGTGCCGCGCCACGTAATCGCGTTACCCCGGTCGTCCCCAGGGCGACGTTATAGTCCCGGAACCCCTTGCCCTCAAAAAGGAGGATGAGGTGCTCCGAAAGTCGCACGTTCCTCGCGAGTCCGATAAATTCGTCCGACTTATCTCCACGTAACGTCCTACGTGGGTACGCGAGTCTGATTTCTCATCTATTCATTAGCGAGAAAATACAAGGGACTTTTACGGTATATCGTCTCGAGTCCAAAGGAAGCTACGGAGAAGGGGAATTCTTGGTGTTATTATTATATCATACGTAGCACGGAGATATAATTAGTATTTACCGTATCGGGAACACACGTTACTGAAGCTTATCGCGCTATTTCAAATCGCGATGAAACGTCTTCCAGTGCATTTTCGTGGATAAATCAATCATGCATCTCGGAGGAGGGTTGTAATCGCGTTAACACGGATTTATTCCGGCCATCCCCGGGGCGTCGTTATCGTCCCATCCGCGTGTGTCGATAGGTCGAAGCAACGTCGCGTGGCCGTGATTTGATTAGTGACTTTAATTAAAAAGAACGCCGGCGTACGGCAACCGCTTCAAAAACGTATACATATACGATCCGTGTATACACGTGTATGCAGAACTTTTTATAAGCATTGTATATAAAAAAGGAAAGCTCATAATTCGGTCGCTTTACGACCGCAAGATTGATTCTGCAACGCAGTGACTTACGGTCTCATAAACTAACATCGAACTTTTCACGATGTATGACCTTCTAACATGGCAGATTTTTATTTAATTAGAAATTAATTCAATTACATAAAGCGATATTTAAAATATAACTCATTATATGTGCTGCATACATAAAATACTATTAAAATTGCATATATTCAGAGACATTCTGTATATAATAATAATTAACTGATAGTTTTTCGAACATGGCCGGAGACACTACCGCGTCTCCTGATATGTGAGAGGAAGAAATATATGAGACCGCGATGTCACTTGTATTGTAAATCATCTCGCCATTAAAAAGAGAAATCGATTAAGGCGATCTGTTTTTGTCCTTTTTTTTCTTGTCAATTTTCGAAAAAAATAATCAGCAAAAATTCTCACCATCTTAAATAGGACGCGTATCATATCCGTTCTTTATATTTTATTTAAATTTCAACTATATAAGTTTTATCGCGCAAAAACATTTTTATACCAGAAAATGTATAATTTTACAGTAATTTTTCTTATTTATTTAAATATATTTGATTTTTTTTAGAGATTTCAAGTACTTTAAGCAGAACAATTGTAGAAAAAGATCTAATCGAGATATTATCATCGATAATCACTGACGTTGCAATTATAGCAACAAATGCAAATAGGAACAATAATTTGCAGCAATTACATTCGCATAACGATAAAAATAATGACGCTCCCCACCTCATCTATATACAGACAGGGAGATAATAAAAGCACAAGGCCAGGGCCAAGGGTCGTATTCGCCCTTCCACCTCCAGAAGACGCTTTCCGCGAAATAAAACAAAACCCTCTCGTATCCCTGAGATAATTCGGAGGGCGCCGAGATCGAGACGCTCCTCTCTCTCTCTCTCTCTTCCCCCTTCGCTCATTTTAATCCGAGTTTTAAGAAGTTTTTCCTATTGCTCGTAAATTGGCCGTCGTTTGTCTGGCCGGGGTTACGTGGGGCCAGCAAGGGGTGGGAACCCTCCGCGGGATATTCTCCCCACTATACAGCGAGTCCTTCCTGTTGTTCGCACATTGCGCATTCGTATAGCGCGCGAGTGGGGGGACGGAAACTCGTAACTGCGATATAATGTCCCGCGAAAACCAGCTACCATCATCAATTATCTCCGCCCCCTTGTCCCCTCAGACGGGATGAAACGGGGAATAATCGAGAAACGCGCATGGGGGCGACTCGTCGAGATTTCTTACGAGATCGTTACGCAAGATCGGAGACGTAAAGATAATAGCAGCGATTAAAAAAAAAATAAGTAATAAAGATTATATCTAACTAAAAAAAATATTTCTCAAAGATCAAAGTAGATTAGACGAATCTTGATGCTTCCTTTTGAATTTTCAGTAAGCAATAATTAATCTACTTAAAACACGAATTGTCTAGCTATATTTTCTGTAATAATAATATTCTCTCTACGATTAAAATTTCCTTCAAGTAGAACTTGATTACACGTGTATCTCTTGATATTAAAATTACTCGAACGTTTAGCTTGAAGTGTATATACCGGCCGGAAGTTTGGCCATCGCGGTGAAAAATTCGCGGCAACAGATCAATCCTGCAATTCCGACGGTGCGTGATCGAGGGGATGGGCGGCGGGACGGATGCTGCGCGAGATTTGGAAATAATTCAGCCCCGCGCGGCCTGACTGGCGGGCCAAGGGGCCGCTTGCCCTTCCGGCCCCCGCGTGCCTTAATCTAATCCAAGGATAATCTAAAATTCATGACACACATAACTGCCAGGCGATGATATATCTGGCGGGGGTGTAAAGGCAACGTCTTCTTCGTTCCGCCCGCGCCACCCTTCCCCTTGCCGTATATCCCTCCTTCCTTACCGTTCTTGTGTTGCTTGCAGTTTACCTCGGCGGGCAACAGCAATCACTGGCATTATTATTTAATGCGACGCGCGTGGCGGCGTATATACACCGACCAACGACTACCTATAAATCGCGATATCGTAGAGACTTGATGCTATATAGATGCTGTTTATCTCGCGAGAGGAATTACCAGCTCGATCGCCGTCAGTTAATCCTTCTTCTCCAACGTCCCGGAACACGTTGCAGAATTAAACAGGCCGCGTAAACGACTGATCGCACATCAGGACGTCGCGCCGTTTACGACATTTCTTTCTAAAAAGATTAATAATACACTATCTAGATACTAGAAAATTAAACTTTTATTCGAAGAATATCGTGTATGAATTAAGAATGTAATTTCGAAGATCCAGTTATTTTAGCCTGTATAAGTAGGTAATCAGTTTTGCATGCATTTCCAATTTATATTTAATAATCAATGAGTTTCCCCCGTTTTATTTCTCGTCGTGTAAAACCCTAATCGTTCCGCAAAATGATCGAACGATTCTAAACGCATCGCTTATATACTGAGAACTTCACTGTTCCTACATTGAATTAATCGACTTTCACACGATCGTCCACGTACCCTTCCCGATACCACGAGCGTCGTTCAAGCCCCGATGGAAGCCGATAATCCGGGGAATGCAATTCGCGCCTTTACGACAGGGTGAGATGCACGCAAATGGACCGAGGGTGGTCACGCGCCGGCGATAAGAAAAGAGAAGAGCGATAATAGAGAGAGAGAGAGAGAGAGAGAGAGAGAGAGAGAGAGAGAGAGAGAGAGAGAGAGAGCGAGAAAAAGTGGAGGAAAC